TTTTTTAAACGAAATGGAGTTTTAATCAATTGCATTATGCATTTGCTAAAAATTTTATTTTCTGATCGGAGGTTTCATATTTTGAAAGACAGGCTGTTTGCCTGAATAGATTGTAATTTCATATGTATAACTGACAAAGAGGTTTAAAACCCCATGTTGCTTCTGTGGTCGAATAACAATAGCATACTCTTTATACTTATATTTTCATAGCAGTTTGTATCATTAATCTTTGAAAAACAAGAATGTCTTTTTTCAATAAAAAATAAATAAACCCCATCGAAACAGCTTTTAAAGAGGAAACAATCAATGAATGTAAAATCACATATTTTCTTGGGCTTAAATTTTCGTGGTTTGAGGGAAAAACATCTTGGTCCGTGGTGGTTTACTTTTATAGATGTAGAATTGGTTAGTAGATACATGTGTATGTTTGTAACATTTTACATTTCGTGATGAAAATGAATTCGTGCACAAGATGAAATTACACGATTCAGTCGACGGAATGGTAATTGAATGCCCACTGAATGGTCACTGGAAGGTCACTGAAAAGATCCTTTCCCATGACTTTTCCGTGATCATTCCGTTACCATTTAGTCGACTGAATGGCAGTTTTTTTTTTCAGTGACCTTTCAGTTATCATTCAGTTGCATCTTTTTATTAGATAATCGGCTTATTTTTTAACTTAAAAATTATATTTCACTTTTTTCCTTATTAAATAACATTTAGTTTATATATTTAAGAATAGAAAATGAAGAAAAAGATTTATGCCAAAAAAAATAAATCATTTTCTATGCAAGAATCGAACCCTGGTCCCCAGCGTGACAGTCCGTGACCTTATCAACTAAGCTACGAGTTCTTGTCGAACAGTACGGAATTAAAATCAATCAATTTATAGAAATCAAAATGGAAGACGGTTCACTTGTTGTATCGAGGATTTGCGATGTGTATATATCTTGTATATATTTTGTATATTCTATGTTAATTGCACGGCTTTTGGGACAGACTAATTAATTACTGTAATGGTTAAGAAGCGTTTAAATAAACGCACAGAAGATCCTAAATAATGAATAATGGAATGACCTGACTACCCTTGGAAAAGTACAGTCCAAGGGTATATAAAGCGATGCTTTGGGGAAGTCAGGTATTCAGAAGTTAGCTGAGGAGGCCGATAACTGAATCAGAAGCGAAGAGAAGAGAATTGTAGAATAAGGAACAGGAGCATCAGTGGCAAGTAGTCCTAGGAAATTGATGGTAAGTTCTGGGTGTAGTAAATCTGAAGATTGAGACACTCAGTTCTTATCTATCAATAGGAAGAGAAACACGGTACAAAAGCCATACCCAGTCCACGTCTCTTGATAACAACATTTTAAATAAATTGTGATTTTCCCTAAAATAAAGCGGCCTTACAATTATTAGTCTAATCATTAACTCAGATAGAGTAAGAGAAAAAGCTTGATACTGTACATATATCCCTTGAAGAACCCAATCATACACGTTACATTTTGGTGGCAGCCGGTCAATGAATTTTTGATTGTTGTCTAATTTACTTTGTTACCATTTGTGATAATATTGACACCAGGTACACTGAAGAATTGATACCGGGTGCTTTAGTATAAGTATACTGATTTTTTGTTGCTTAACTGGGTACAGTGTTAAGCAGTGTTGTGAACAGAGTACTGATACCGGGTGCTGTTGACACCGGGTGCAAGAAACTCTGTTCAGTGTTTCCAAGTAATGTAATCCAGAGAAGTGATACCAGGAGTTTGGTACCAAGTGCAATGGTACCAGGTGCAGTATCACCGGGTTTTCTCTTTACCAGGTATATTATTTTTGAGTGTAGAGTAGTAAGATTTATTGAAACTGAGCACTGTATGTCAAGTGTTACAGCCTTAGGTCTCGTGAAAATTGAATGAGCATGGATAATTTAGAAGCAGAGCTTTACGCTGATCTGAGTGCAATTGATGCCAAGAGAGAAAAATTGAGAGAAACAGATATGACAGTTTTGCTCGTGGTTTGTCTAATTGATACAAAGGAAAGTTTAAATGTGAGCGGTGTGCTCATACCTTTGCCAGGAAGACAGTGCTTAGAAGACACTTGAACAGAACACATAATTGGAAAGAGCCAAAAGAAACTGTAGGGTCGGGACTAGTGGGGAAGTCTCCAAATAGGTCCCCTAGGAGTACAGGTCAGGTTAAGGTGGTGGATCCAGGGGAGCTTATTTTCGAGGAAACAGATTTAGAGGTTAGAAGGACACGTAGAAAGAAGATGGCTCCCTGTCTACCAGGATTGAAAAGGTGACCTATGGAAACAAGTATCAAAAGAATGGTTAAACAGTATTGAGACTAGAAGACATTCAGTTTGAATGAACAATCTTAATGATAAAAGATTGTATGTAATTACTGATTTTACTTGTTGTATGTATTTAAAAAAAGACTGATAGGTTCTTTATAAAACAATGTTTCTTGTGTTTCAGGATATAAAAAGAAAATAATAATAATAGAAATATTAAATATAAAATAATAATAATAGAAATAAAAAAAAATCTTATTTTAATCAAAGTACATGGGGGACGCATGATATCAGAGGCGTGGGTAATGTAATGGTTAAGAAGCGTTTAAATAAACGCACAGCAGATCCTAAATAATGAATAATGGAATGACCTGACTACCCTTCGTATAGAACAGTCCAAGGGTATATAAAGTGATGCTTAAGGGAAGTCAGGTATTCAGAAGTTAGCTGAGGAAGCCGATAACTGAATCAGAAGCGAAGAGAAGAGAATTGTAGAATAAGGAACAGGAGCATCAGTGGCAAGTAGTCCTAGGATATTGATGATAGGTTCTGTTTTTTTTTTTTGTTTTTTAAATCTAATTGGAAAATTAAATATCATTTTGAATTCTATGAGTCAACGAGTTCAGTTGAATTGTTATCATTTTTTGTAACATATAAATAAGTAATTGTTAAGACATACATATGTATTTTTAAAGTATGTAATCGCAATTTAAAGTGATACTAATGAGTATACACTGTACGTCATATCTGATAAAAAATACAAATATACAAGATCAAGTGTAGGTTTACAGGATATTTGCTATATTTATACGTTCAAATAAATTTTTTCGCCGAATTTGATCTTATACATAAATATCCCCTCCTTTCTATGTTCATATTGACTTTAAACGGTGTGTGATATTAAATTCAGAGTCGGAAATAAAAATTGATACTAATTGTTACTAAAGTGTGTACTTTAAGATAACGGAAAGGTAACTGAAAGACGACGCAAAGGTCACTGAAAATCGACTGAAAAATTAAACCCTACAAAAATTTATGATTCTACAGTATGTTGAATTGATTATATGGTTTCGTTCGATTCGTATCTTTCGATCACAGTAGTCTAGTGGTATAGCGTTCGCTTCGTGAATGGGAGGCCCAGGTTCGATTCTCCGCGTCGCGCCGCGTCAAACCTAAGACGTAAACAAATGTAGTGACTGTTTCTTCGCCAAGGGATCGGCACTAAAAGAGAAAGTCACGGGTCTGTCCGATAATGACCTTAAAAATGTAGGCCCCGTGTCACAGACGCGTTGGCATGAAAAGAGCCCTAGCTGTTCAATGGCCCTGAATTCTGTGTATAGGTCCATATTTGAAGCCATTCAGTTACGTCTCCATGTGAGTGAAAAAACAGGTTAAACAAAATACAATCAATCATTGATTCGTATCTTCTCTTTGTGTGTTTTTTCTTCGGTTCATATATTCACAAGAAACTATAAAACAAAATACTAAAATTACTAACCTCAAACAATAATACCCTAGATCCACAACAAGTACAATGGCAAAATTCATTTTTTTAGCATTTTGTAAATGAGATTTGTGAGAATTACAATGTACATAGAATTCAATCATGTGATAAGTATAAATTTCGTAAACAAAATATGTATCTTTTACAACTGAGATGGAATAAAGACAGTCCAGGCTATTGCAATGGAAAAAACTATATATGTTTTGTAATATTAACAAAAAGAAGAAATTAGTTTCTGTTATAGAGTTTATTAAATGAATAAAAAGTCCCTCAGATGAAACAAGTAAATCGTTCTTTTATTTATGTGTCATGCAAATTTGGACTGCATTAAATTACAGTTCGTATGATTCAGAAAATATCAAATCATGCAAGAAACTTTGCTAAAAAAGTGAAGGTAAGACAACATTTCTGTACTTTATGTATTTTTTTTTAACTTAGAAGAAGACATATTTGTGAAACACTGATGCTCCCGTAAGGCAACATAGCAAAGATTAAACTTTTCTGAAATGCAAATTTAATTAATTAGTACCAATAATAGGGTGTTCTCACTGGAAAACAATTGTGAAATTTGAAAGTAGGCAAATGCAAATGATTTTTTCAATAAGTACAAAAATCGCCAAGGTCAAGGTCAAAAGGTCAATTTAATTGTTAATCAATGAAAAGTCATTGCCAAATAGAAAACTTATTTAGATTATGGAAGCCCTAATCCAAGGTCAAAGGGTCAAAGTTCTTGTTATCAAATGAAAGGTCTTGTCACAAGAAACAAATATGTAAAGTATGAAAGCACTAGTCCTAATCCTTAAAAAAATGTTGTCAATTTTTTGCTGCTTTAAAGTAGGTCATACTCACAAGATTAGAATGTCAAAGTTCTTGGTTTTCATTAAAGAGTCTTCTCACAAGGATTACATATTTGAAGTATGATGCCCTATTCCTTACCGTTCAAAAGTTATGGCCATGGTTAATTTTTTTGGAACGTACGGAAATCTACAAGGTCAAGGTCAAAAGGTCAAGGTATCCAATGAAAGGTCTTTCATCAAAGAATACATATGTGAAATATAAATGCCCTAGTATCTACTGTTCAAAAGATATTGCCAAGATAAAAGTTTAAATTTTCATGTTAAAGTGGGAAAAACTCCAATATCAAGGTCAAAAGGTCAAATTTAGTGGTACTCAAAGAAAGGTCTTGTTTAATTGGTTCAGAGCAACTAGTTCAGGCTATTGTCTGTAATAAGACAAAAATAAAAACAAGAAAAAAAATGCAGAATTAAATGCACAAAAATTAAAAACAACCAAAGGCTATTTATATTATTAAAGATACATTTTTTTCTATATAAGAAATAAAAATATTAACCAATACAAAAAATAAAAAAATAGAGTTTCTGTAAGGCGAATTTTTTATACATATATGAACTAAATTGTATAAAGTTCCGTTTGAAAGAAAATAAGATTCTGTAATTATCATTAATAAAATACACGTTCCCGTTGCTTTTTTTTTCAAAATAGCTTAAAGAAATATAGAGAAAAAATAATCTAAGTGACTGCCAAATTGGAAGACTTTTTGGAAGACAATTTATCCCAGCTCACACACAAACCACCCAGTGAATGTCTTCCACAACCTATTATCCCTTTGTTAAGTTTTATGGTAACTTTATTATGGTAAAAAAAATGTACCATTGTATAAAATATCGATAACGTTATTGAACAATAAACTATTGTGTACTCTATCTTATTTATCGCTTATTTTATAGCTTGACGACAAATGGTGTATGGATGTTTAGTATATAAGGTAACAGTAATGTACAGGAAATCTTGGAAAATGTTGAAAAATGCTGCTCTATGACTTCATGATATGTGCATATAAATCACCCAAAATTGATACCAATTTACAATATTTTGCTATGGCATTTAGAAGACCATATACCTCATCCTGTATATTATGTGCGACATTTTGCCCGATTATGTCTTCAAATTTCGTTTCTTTGCAAAAACATTGTAAGTTTTTGGATATTATTTTCATCCCATTTCTTATTTAATATTTCATTATTTTGAAATCTCCAAAATAAAGATCTGTTAACTATTGTTTTGATGAAAATATGCAATGGATATTTACAGTCTGTTTCATCTGAAAAGATACAAAGAACCAATTTTTCCCTTAATACTTTTTTTCAAATATATAAAATGTAAATGAAACAATGTTTGTGTGTGTGTTTTTAAATGCATTTAGTCAGGGATGCTGACTCCTTCATTGAACCAGATCTCATCTCTGCTGTTTTAGTTGTCCTTATTTAATCTGATCTTAATTGAGCTCAATTATTGTATTATTAATTTTAGCTGAATTTTAATATATAAATCAGTGTTTAAAAAGAATGAATGATTCAGAGAGCCAAGAAAGGTAAGATTGATAATTCAGTACAATTGTTTTTATCATATCTTTATTTCCTTCTCTTATGAGTAACATTATGGAACATATCAATATTTTTACTTATCATATCCTGCAAAACGTACCATTTTTCTTCCATTAAATAAAACAGCGCATTATTTCAATACAAGATCGCTCAATTTAGAAATGTGTTTATATTTAAAATACTGCAAAAAGAGAATTTAAAGATGTGTGAAACACTATGTGCCTGGTGGCAACAAAGTTCTAAAAAGCAATTTTAAGCAAATGAGTCTTAATCAAGGTCACATAATCATTGTCTTGTTGTTAGTTGAAAGTGCTTGATTAATGGAATATTCATACTAAATATGATGTCTCTATCTCTCATGGTTAGAAAGTTATGGCGAAAGTTTGAAAAGGCTACATGTATTTTTAGTATAAAGGTCACAATCAGGGTCACAAGGTCAATGACCTTGGTGTTGGTTGAAAGTGCTAAATTAATGGAATATGCGTATTAAAAATGAAATCTATATCTCTCACAATTAGAGAGCTATGGATATAGAAAAAAGCTATTTTTAGTATAAAGGTCACATATCATTGAATTTGATGTTGGTTGAAAGTGCTCAATTAATGGAATATTCATTCCAAATATGAAGTCTTTATCTCTCACGGTTCAAAAGTTATTGCGAAGGTTAAAGTTGACAACAGACAGACAAACGGACAAACAGACACAGAGACAAACAGACAAACACACATGCACAGACAGGACAAAAACAATATGCGCCCCGAATACATTTGGGCGCATAATAAAAATAATTTCATGTCTTGAAAGTCTAATTCACTTCTTACAGAGCTACCTCCATTTTAACACTTTGATATTAGATACCTTCATGTATATGTATTACACAACAGAATTTTTGAAAAAAAAAAACGTTTCTTTTAGACATTTTCCTACCAGCAAGTCATTTTCATAGGTCGGTGCCCAACGACATTCATTAACGTTTTCACCTGTAAACCTTAACTTAATGTAATTCGTCTATATTTGTTTTTTCATTGAAATATAACTAATATTTTCCAACTCTTTATTTCAGTTTTCAGTTCTTTGGAGTAAAAATTTAAAGAACCATCCACTTTTCTAAACTTGTGACATGATATTAAATCTTTTTCAAAGAATCAAAATTGTTTGTATTATCTGTCCTTAAAGAAAGGAAAGCAAAATACAAATTAAAATTGATTGATTGATTGATTGTATGTTGTTAAAAGTCCCTCTCGAGAATTTTTCACTCATATGGAGACGCCACCACTTGCCGTGGAGGGCTACAAATTTTGTCCTATGCTCGGCACTTAGAGCCTTTGAGCATTTATGGATCTTTTTCGTGCTACCGGTCACGGTAGCCTAGTGGTAGAGCGTTCGCTTCGTGATCGGAAGGCAATGTTCGATTCTCGATCGCGGCGCCGTGTCATACCTAAGACGTAAACATAGGTAGTGAGTGTTCCTTCGCCAAGCGCTCGGCACTAGAAGTGAAAGTCACGGGTCTTTCGGATATGACCTTAAAAACGTAGTTCTTGTTTTACGGTAGGCGTTGGCACGATAAAGAACCATCACTGCTCAATGGCCCTGAGTGCCGAGCATAGGTCTAAATTTGAAGGCCTTCGCCGGCATCGGTGACGTCTCCATATGAGTGAAAAATTCTAAAGAGGGACGTTAAACAATATAAAATCAATCAATCTTTTTCGTGCCTTTGCGACTCTAGAGCAGACGCTCTAACCACTGCGCCACGCGGGCGACAATCAAAGTTGATTATGAATACATAGATGTCGTAATTTCATCTACAAGAATTTCTTACCAGGAAACTGCGCAAAGCTTCAACATCATGGTCTTCTGCAAGTGCGTGTAAGGGGCAGTTTCTACCACGGTACTCAAGTAAATCATTTTCTGTCAAAAAAGTTTCGATTAGCTCTTTACCAAACCTTGTAGGTGTACAGCTATATCCAACTTGATAATGAAGTTCGCTGTTAATGGTTTTCGTTAGTAATGACAGCATCTCCATTACTTTTTCTTGAACGTCACTTAAGGCCCTCTGTACTGATTCTTCTTTCGTCTGATCATCATTATACAATAACAACTGTAAATAACTCTTACTTACTCCTAAAACTAGAACGTGGTTTTGAAAATAAAACATAGCAGTGTCTATATATATACATTTTCTTCCGTCGCTCAATGGTTCCCAGCCTTGCATCAGACAAAGTACAATCAGCCTGTAGAAGAGAAAGACAGGTAAAACAGGGAATCTGATGTAGAGAGTTGTTGACTTGTTGGGATGTGAATGGATCTTTGATTTAACACGTTGTGGAACTTCCATTCTATTCATACTTGGAATAAAACACATGTCAGAATTTTTTTGTATCGCGATCAGACCCAATCGTTCCATGTATTTCATCATAGCATACTTGTTTTCAACTGCTGCTTGATTTTTTGTTACTGTCCAGATTGATTTTAAGAATTCGCCTGAAATTTCTCCTGTAGTTATAAAAGTATTTAGCGCATCTTTGGTGGGGGCTGCATCTATGACTTTGTTGAAACTGGCTTTTTGATTTGAGTCTGTCATCACATACTTAAATGAGTTAACAAACCACTGAATATCGAGGATTACAATATCAGAAACACAATGAAGCTGCGTGACATTTTGTTTTGGATCTTTAAATGAAAAAAACAGAATCAATCCAATATCATGATAAAAGCGTAATAAGTCTTTGAATTCCTGTCTGCTTAAAAGAAGCAATTCATCAAATGATTTCTTCAATTTGTCCAGTGCCTGAAGCTTTGTCTCCTTTTTTTCTGAAATGAATTTTTCAAAAATAGCCCAATCCAGGGGTATTTCTTCTCCCCAATGTTTTTGTGACTTTAAGACTTCTACAATGGTTTTTTCTAATTCATCCAGACTTTCAATACATGCTCCATTATGCCTTTCAAGACTTGATGTAAAATATCTATCGCTGGACAAGTGTCTATTAATTGGCGAAGGCCCAGGAAACGTATCGAAAAGTTCTTGGTAATACTCAGTTTTTTCCTTGAAAATTTTATTTTATATATGAATTATTATGTTGTTTGTAAACTTCAAATGCTTTTAAACATGACAAAAAATGGTCATGAATGATTTAAAGACGTGACTAAGAAACGGCTATGCACATACCTGTTCCGATTTCCCCTCTGCATGAGTAGCTACAAGAATAACGGGGGCCTCACTTCCAGAGTAACAGTCCACAGATTTCAACCAAAACAGAAGATAATCTGTAAAAAAATGTTTTACAAAAAAAAACATGTGTATTATATATAATGTAGTTAAAAGTGTGCTCTTATTATCATTATTTAATGTTCTTTCGGTATTGTTTCAAGTTCAAAGCCAAGTCAACTAAGCTAGGTTTTTGATTAATTAAAAGAAGATAACAGCAGTTTTGAAAGCGAAAATGTCATTTATTCAAGTAAACGACCCAAAACAAAAAACGTATAGTTTTGGGGCTATAAAAAATTAGAGAAAAACTTCTAAATAACATAAACCCTTATCATATTATGAAAACTGACTCCCTAAAATTTTATTAACCAATAAGCAAGCTCTGATTTCTCTGCCATCAAATAAAGGATTAGATACTATCAAACAAAGACTTTTATTCATTTTTTTGTAACCAAAACATCATTTTGATTATTATGAAAAGATAACCTAACATTTGGCCTTTATACTAAAGATAACAAAATACTTCTATTTAATTATCTATATTTATTTGGCGATAAAGGCCAGGACTGCATTTAAGAAAAAGGGAGCCAGGCATCTCTTGTTGACTTTATTTACCATCCCCAAAAATAAACAAGCATGAATGGTGAGCCCTGGGAACAGATGCTCGCCTGCTTAGACAATAATCGCAAAATCCAATCAATTGTGCACCAAGTCATATATTAAGAATATAGGATAGGCACTACTGATGAGCCAAACATCCGCTTGGGAAATATGTTTCTCCAGGTAGGATGTGATTTTAGCCGTGACGATTTCGCCAAGTCCTTGCTGTTGGATAAAGGCTTTATATTATCTGAAAAAGGAACAGAACAAAACACTAGAAAGCAGCAGATAATTTCCGTTAACATTTTACTTTTATTAAGAAGTGTAATTGGGGGTTGAAATTTTGCAGAAATATGATTTTTTGCGCTCGAAGTCACAGACGTTGGTGCTTAGGTTCGACAAATAACCCCAAAACTCCGAGAACACCAATGACACCGATGACACTAATACAAGGCCAGGACCGGAATGATATCTCCAAAAGCCGAAGTACTAAAAAGCTTAATGGCTTTTTTGATAAACTGATTTAACCTTGAGTGCTTAAATCACGTGCACATTATCAAAAGATGTCCTCACCTCGGGCCTTTATACTAAAGATAACAAAACACTTCTATTTGATTATTTATATATATGTATCAGCCAAATATAGGCCACGGATGCATTAAACAAATAAGGGAGCCAGGTGTCCGTTAGTGAAATTGTTTCCCCCCTCACCTCATGATCCGTTTTGGAGTGTTTAAGGACAATGAGGACTTTATTGTTCTGTTTATAAGTTACATCCTCGGCTTGAAAAGTGTGACTAGAGTCATGTGCTGAATCTTGAACAAGCTCCCCCATTCTAAAATAACCAATAAATGCTGTTGTAAATATGGCTGAGAACAGCACAAATTCATAAAGAGATTTGCATATTGAGTACAGCAACTAAATTATGCTGGACAAAATTGAGATTGAGACTGGTTAACGTTCGTCGATGTGGACATTTTTTTTTTGCCCAAGCCTACCCGGGATTTTCTGGGTAAGAATAATTGCGTGGAATCAGGAAGGTTGTGAAGTTAGTAAAAAATAAGATATCCCAGAAATGTACTACTTAATCATGTTTCGGTAGAACTGCTTATACGATACATGTAGGTAGGAGGCAAGATTTTGTCTAATGTAGGGATGGTTAGGTGAGTAGATCATATATTCATGCTTTAATTTACATATGAGTTTATTACATATGCCCTTGTCATTGAATTAACAACACTTAAAAAAGGGGGGGACTGAGGTGAGGAAATCCGGGTGCTATGGCACTGTACATATACAAGTGCCATAGCTCCTTATCGACAACAGCAAATTAGAGAAATGGGTTAGTCTCCTTTTTGAGCCTGAACTGGATACCATAGTTGCGCCACCCGAGTGTTTTTACTCTAATTGTACCTAATATAATAATATGAATATATTTGAACAACTGAACTCTGCTCTCGGGATGGGCTGAGGCATAAATATGGATGCGTTTATATTGAGAAAAATATCCGTCTATACTTGAATGTCGTTAATTATCTTTGCTTTAATTTGTGTTAACCTCTATTTGGTAAAATATCTGGTCTCATCATTTGAATCGACCCTATGTGAATTTTCGACTAACACGTTCAAAAAGATGTTCTCGCCATTAACAATTTTAAGATTTAATTTATTTGACACTTTATGTCCTAAATCATTTTTGTAACTCGGTGTAAATGCAGGGCAATATAATTTATAAAAATTGCGTTCTGTACCTTGACTCTGTTCCCTTGTGGCCATGGGGGTTTCCAGTTAACAATTTTAAGTTTTAATTTATTTGACACTCTATGGCCTAAATCATTTTTGTAGCTTGGTGTTAATGCAGGATAATACATGTATCATTCATGAAAATCGGGTTCTGTACCTTGACTCTGTTCCCTTGTGGCCACAGGGGTTTCCAGTGGCTCTATGGGCATTATGGGGTTGGTCTCACTCTGCTTACTTGGGTTATTTGCTACAGCTTCTCAAACCTGTTGCCGCTGCTCATTAGAAAAACTAAAAAATGGCTGGATCCTGCTTCCCTTGGTTTCAGGTTGACCTTGACTGGCCTGAGACGGAGGAGCGCCATCGTTGCGCTTGAAGCGCCTTTTTTGTAAAGGCGTCGAATCACGCTTTCTTTTTGGCATTGCCGTTGACGTTACGATACTCGTTATGACATACAACAAAAAGCAAAATATTAAACTCTGACAAAAAAAACCAGTCGGATTATGCAAACAGTCAGTGAATTTATGCCAATGTATCTAAGGCAATGTGTGGCTAGGCGAACGGGAGCAAAAAAAAAAATAAATGTTGGCCTAGGCCCTGATTAAAATCAGATAATAATACGACTAATGCAATGGCCATGTTAAAAAATATTTAAGAGAAAGCGAACTTGATCTACAATCCTTCGCAAGACAATAAAAAAATTTCGCCTAAGGCACGTTGGAAAAGAATTTAATGCTAAAAATACGTCATACCTCGTAGAAATTTTGTAGAATCTTTTTTCCACTCGACGTCACAGGTTTTGGTACTTAAGTTCGACAAATAACCCCAAAACCCCGAGAACAAGATACAAGGACAGGACCGGAATGATACCTCCAAAAGCCGAAGTACTAAAAAGCTTAATGACACTTTGATAAACGGATTTATCATTGAGTGGTTAAATCACATTAAATTACAAAGTTTTATTTTAGTTATGTTTGTTTTTTATGACAGTTTCAGAGGAATAGATTATGACGATGATCATGTACTGTATAACTTTATCAATATAATGCAGCAATTGAAAATATTTGCTTAACATTACACAACTGCGTCCATCAAAATATTTTCTTTCAAAATATTTTGTGTTTCATTTTATGTAAATCTTTTAAAGGATTTTCTTAATAAACAGAAATATTTTCATTATTTGATAACTATGAATCTAAGATAACTATTACTCCGTTTTATTTTTGAGTAAAAACTTACAACAGTGTTAACGAATTACTTATAGCAGTGAATTCCATTGAGCGATATTGGCAGAAGCAGAGTCCGCTAATTCAAGTACATCGCTATATGTCCTGTATATTAACAATTACGAGTATAACTAGCGCATTCAACCAGCGCTAAATCAAAGCTACGCTAACTTGTTAAAAATTGAATTTCCGCCAAATATAGTAGACGTCAAATGTATTACATTTACAGTAATATGTATGAAAATTAAAACCATTTTGAAAGGTCCATCTATGACAGTATACTGTCTTCTAATGTCAAAGAACCAAAGAAAACGTACCTGTCTGCTTTTTCAAGCGTAATTTGAAGTATCAGTCTGTATATTTAGTGTATGGGTCACTTAAGTATCCTACAACAACTATCCAACAATTGAATTTGATTCATGTTTTAAACCAGAGGCCATAAAATTCACAATTTTGAAAGAAACGCCATTGCTTTTCGTATTTATACACTCAGCATGCTTGCTTTGGTTACTTACTAAAAAGAGACCAATCAGAGTAACAAAGTGAAAATGCATATACACTTTTTTACACCCCACAGGAAGCACTGACCCTGGGGCTACATATAAATTTTATTTCATTATGCTGTTGATTACGATCAAAGTGCAGACTTCAAAGCATAAATTTATTTTCCGACCATGCAAAATTTTGGAAGAAGCAGCTTTCATCGTTATAAACATATACTAAGACCATTTGCATCATACTCATGAACAAAGGGAAGAATTTCAAAGAATTCATGCATTTTCAATATATTATCAATAGAGCCCTTCTCTAACACCAGAATCCAAAACCCAGGGGCCATGAAATACACAATTTTGGCAGAGACAGCCTTATTCAAAAAACTTATACATACAATGTAATTGGTTAGTTTCTTTAATACTCAGGGACAGAATATTTTCAAAGAATTAATTCATTTTTGCTATATTATCTTTATAGCTTTATCTTGGAACCCTTGACCGTGGGGCCATGAAATTCACAATTTTGGAAGAGACAGCTTCATTCTACATAGCTATGCAGTTGATCAGTTTTTTTTCAATGTCCACTAACACAGAAGAAAAAATATCCAAGAATGTATAAATTCTCCCTTGATAATCTAAATAGCTCCAACCTTCCACTGGAAACCCTGATCATGGGACCTTTAGATTAACAAGTTTTACAAGAGAAAACCTTATTCAACATAACTATACACTTGGTTAGTTTATCTAATGCCCAGAAGTAGACAAGAATGATTTTAAAGAATTTATGCATTTTCACTATGTAATCTATATGCATGTATAGCCCCGCCCTACATTAGAGCCCCTGACCGTTGGGCCATGAATTTTGATAAATACCGCGATATGGCAAATTCAGGGGTATTGGGGAAAAATAAATTTGTAATATTTCTTTAGACCATACAAATGGATGATATTTTTAAAAATTATATGTATTCAACCAAAAATAAAAAAAGATGAAAATAACAAAAAGGAAAGAAAAGTCGCTATGACAGAAATAATAATAAAAAATAATGGACGACCTGGCACTTTTCTAACCAATTTCTGATATTTTATGCAATTGTTCATGTTATTGCCACTTCAGGAATTTTAAATTGAATGAAATTACGGTATGGTGATAAGAGTGAGGAATTTGCTATGGTCTATTTATGTAATTTAGATATGGTAATTACTTTTGAATCTTCCTGAAACACAAAGTTCACTTTCAGGTTTACCGGTTGACCAATAGGGGAAGTTATAAAATGAAGATTCGTCTTACCACTATGGTTCCATTTTGAGAACATTGTATCCTTCTGATCGCACAGCTCTTCATCTATGACGTCTTCCAAATTTTTAGACATGTCAATTACCAAGATGTAAAACGCTCGTTTGCTGAGGTAGATTTGATGACAGGCGTAATACATACATTGTCCTCCAAAATCAAGGATGCTTAGAAGTTTTTCTCTTCTATCTTTTCTGCATCATCAATTGGAACATTTTCTTTGATATGGATTTCAGATTCGCGTTTACGTACAGCAACTTAAAATTGAAATATGAAAAACAGCTTAATCTAATATCAGTTGCAATATAGAGTGTTTTCAGGTTGAGAAGCTTTAGAAAAATTAAATGCAGAGACATTCATTTATCTCATACCAATGCTTTATCCATAGGTATATGCTTTATCAATAGCACTTCCGGTTTTGATACAATCCCTCCCTTCAAGATTTTATTCTATTGAAACTCTTCTTTGAAAAAAAATCTTGTCTTTATTAAATGTCATTTGTCAAAAAGTATCTTATTTTATCCAGGTACCAGGTAAAGAGTAATGATATCCCCTCCTTTTTCTTTAAATTGTTTTCGGAGGAAGTAAAGCCTAGCAGTTACAAGTTTTTGTTATGAGATTCCTTTTACGTCTTAGCGATGCTTTCTTATTTTCAACTTATATGCTAATTTGGTCATGTAGGCCAATGTGTTTCTTACCATGGATCAACAATGATTTTTCAAGTAGGCCTAGCCTTGCCTAGCACGTTTTGTACTGCCACCGTGCAAAGAGTTTATTCTCGCGATCCCTTAGTCCTAACAACTTTCAGTCAGAAGTTCGCTTGATGAAGAGCTCTAACAATTGTCACATAATGTATTCAAATATGCAGGTATCAAAATTTTGAAAGCAATCTACTTTCTTTCGAGGCTTGTCAACATTAACAGTGCTACCTCTAACAAAAAAGTACTACGGTTACCTATAGTTAACTATAGTTTACTATAGTTTACTTTAGTAAATCAAAGAATTTTAACTATGATTTTCAGATAAATATATTGTATTTTTTAAACTTCCTACAAATACTTTTCTAAAATTAAAATGAAGTATTCCTTGTATTTTTACATATTTTATCAAAAAAAGTACATGATTATTATGTAATTTAAGATATATTAAGGCTTCAATTTTTCAAATAAGATCAAGAGTAATTTCATAGTCAATCAAAGTTTAAAAGTTTTCACTATATAGTTAATTTTTGTTAGGGACATCACAAAGTAATACGTCATCAATTTGAATTAGAAATTGTTCATGTAATTTCACAGGATAAGTCTCGAAGTTTTGTTAAAACGAAAGCCGTATGAGATAGATAGAACATCTATGCTGTAAAATTTGATATTGGCTAAATCCAACTCGTAGAAGCCAATATCAAATCAAATAATTTACAGCTCAACGCACCTTTTAGACCCACGCGGTTTTGAGTACAAATTGAGGTCACATTATTTTTGCAATAAAACCAATAAAACCTAGCATATTCGAACTTCTATTCAAATATGTATGGAAAGGGAGTTCGAAATTGGAGAAATTAGAGATTGATATATCTGTGTGTTATACTGTGTTATACTGTGATAAAGTTATAAAACAGCATATTTTTCTTGTTTACCTTTTATCGCAGTACCTGATTTTTAACAATTTTTTATTCTATATAGAATTATATGAAAACAATTACCGGTGTGATACCTTGAGGTGATTATGTAAAATCATTTTAATCCTTATTAAAGATATTTTTCATTTTTAAAGGGCATATTTCAACAAAATATGTGATTTTATTATCTTTTGGATTGAAAACACACAATTTTAAAATTAGAATTAGAATTTACATTATTTTTCACATATTTCTGTGTAAAATTAACAATAGGTTATTTTTTACACTCAATACTTTAAAATATGGCTAAAAAGGTAGCATTATGCATCTTAAAAGTGGAAAGAAGTAAGAGAATATTGTTTTTTTTCATTTTATATGACTTAACATTATTTGCACCAACTGACCGCAGTCAATTATAGTATCTACAGACTTTGCAGTAAAGGGTGTTAAAGCTGATTTCTCAAGAATAGACTTATTCTAGGTTCGTGAATGAATTTTCAGCACAAGCGACAACTGCGATAAAATGTAAACAAGTAAAATGTAAACAAATAAAATATGTTCTCTCAGAATGATAATCTCTGCAGACACATGATTTATTTTAATTTATTCACACCTCTAGTGTCACATATATTACTGCATTGGAAGAATAGAGATTAAAGAAATGAATCAGATCTTTCTAATTAACTTAATACATAAGCTACATAAGTAAAATTCATGAAGAATTTTTCACAGTAAGGAAGGTTATGACCCAAAAATCCTGAAATACTGTCAAGGTCTGCATGATAATACTTATTCTGAGTTCTAACCATGCATCATACATGCAGTGCAGAATGTCACGTAGCACCATGGCATGCCTCTTGTGGTTCTCAGGACTTGATTCATGCTTTCGGAGCTGATATTTATGTTTTTTTTTAGTTTGTCGGAGACTGCTTTTTGTTGTTTTTTTTTTCATTTATATGTAGGTGTTGACTGTCACTTTTGAATTAAGTCTCAGTCAGTGATGCTTACAGTACCGACCGGACACAACCTAACAGAAAGCGAACCCGGAGCGGTCCCGGGTTCGCTCTCTGGGTCCGCTCCGGGTTCGCTCGGGGTCCGCTAGGGCTGACCCCGAGCGAACCCGGAGCGGACCCAAAGCGAACCCGTATCGGACCCCGAGCGAACCCGAAGCGGACCCAGGGAGCGAGCCCCAAATTCAGTAGCGGTTCCAGAGAGCGAACGCGGGTTCGGTATTACTTTACAGAGCTGTCAATCAGGATAAGCGATTAACCAATCAGCGCATCAACCAATCAAAATAGCGTATTGATCTGTCGATTGGGATATAAGATCGAACGTATTGATCTAATTCGATATAAAACCAAACACTGTACATACAGGAAAAACTTGTGAATGTGCTGTGTAAATCTATCAGGATAATTAAGATATTATTTAATAATTATCATTTTAATTCTCCCAGTTGTATTTTACATGTTTTAATTTTCCATGTAAAATTATAGTTACATGAACAATTACATGCGTCTTTTATTTTCTTTAGTTTTTTTTTACCAGTATTTAAAGTCCGTTCGGTAAATAAAATGGGTAAATTCATCAGTCAATGCATAAAAATGAAATTCAATTGATATTACAATTTTTACTGACAAAAAAGGAGAAAAGAAACGTAGTTGGTCTTTGACAATTATTGTAAAATTTCATCATCTCAAGATACTAACAGTTAAGGAATATTAACGTGCCCTATATTTAAATATAAATCGATACAGGAGAGATACGAGAGAGAGAGAATAACTGTACAATGTAAACTCGCACCATTAGACTTGATTATAATTATAAATCCCGATGATTTTTATTTAAATTTATATGAGTCGTCCTCCCAATACTGTACTCAAATTGTTTTCTATAAGCCTGCTGCGGCTATTTTTTTTTCAATAAATATACATGTACAGGAAGATGTATATAAAGAACAAAAAACACCAACAGTTTTTGGGACGCTCTGACCCTTCCTCGGGACAAAGAAAAAAGTTTAAAAGTCATAAGTACAAAGGAAAAAAAAGAAACCAAAATCAACTAGCAAAACTAATAAACTACTAAACACTATAGTAACATGTCGAATTTGAATTTATTTAAACAATATCAAAGAGAGAAATTTGGTCTGCTACGTCTGGTTTATCGGGGTATACGCAGGTGAAGTGCGATTTACACCATTGAACGAATTAATTACGCTAATTAATCACGAACTTTAGTAAATCGTACATTGTATCATTCTCTCAAAATTGCGTACATTGTAACTATACTTGACAAAGAATAATCAGTCTGGAGAAATATAAAATAGACACATGAGTTACGATCTATTATAAATTTTGAAATGTTTGAGGACTAACTATAGGAAAAAAAAAATTAATAAAGGCGTAAGCGATACAAAGGTATGTGGGTTGTTCGAGAGTTAATAACGCAAACTAACTGTAGAGTTTAGGGTGAAATGACTTCAATCTGTGCATCCAGAAGGAAGATTTTCATATAAACGCATTTTTTTCATGCCCAGAAAGATCAAGAAGATTATGAAGATCAATAATTCTGATGTAATTTTTGAATAATTTAATATAACAAATAAATTGAGAATCATAAATAAAATAATCAATTTCGATTTTTAAAGACAACGTGTGTGTGTAAAATAGGGGGCATATATTACTATTTTCTTATCGGGTCGGGAGAACAATCATTATTTGCCTTTTTCTTTATTCTGATAAAAATCCTACTCGCTCCAAAATTCTGACCGTGAAAAAGATGTACAAATGTAATATACAGTGTATTTTTTTTTTTTTAGAAAATGTCCGGTAAATATTTATACGAACTTTTAATATGTAACTTCTATTAATGAAATCTAAATACATGTTATTTAAAGATGCGATATCATAATTCACGTGTTAAGCAAACATTTAAACTACGATTTAGCAAAACGTAAGGAATAACGAATTAATGTATTTTTAAACTATATAAAGCATGAATTTTAAAGGTATTTAGTTTAGATTTCTTTCGTCAGTTTCAATTGTACACCATTCGATACACTGAAAATCAATTCAACACTCTTTCCTTCCTCTTCTTTTTTGTTTTCTCGTTATAACTTAAGAAAAATAAATGCCTTATAACCCGCTGTTAAATTAGTTTGAATTTCTCGGGATCGAAAAATCAATGAAATCAATTATTTATGTACATATAAATCTTCGTCGAATGTCCAGTTGAATTTTAGAAAATTCATCAATGTTCTCCATTATATCACTGTTTACATGTACAGTGTACATGTCAGCATCGTCGCAAAAACAACAATGATCGATCCACAATACCACTACTGTATTGGAATAAACAAGGGGCGGGGCTAACTGGCGGTGAGATTAAAGCGGGGTCCGCTTCACGCATCAGTGCGTAAAGCGGTCCCAGGAAGCGAACGCCGGGTTCGCTCTAGCGAACCCGGAGCGATCCCAAAGCGCACCCGGAGCGGTCCCAAAATTTCTGAAAGCAAACCCGAAGCGGACCCCGAGTGAACCCAGGAAGCGAACCCGGGGTCCGT